GACTCTCTACCCCCTAAACCCTAAATGGTAGAGTAATAAAATTAGTGGTATCTTGCTAGGCTTTTGTTTCGTCTAACCCAACTGGACTATTAATAAATATAATAATACATAATAAATTTGTTTATTTTGGCATACTTTTTATGAATAATAGATAGTCCTATTTAGAAGTATAATTAATTAAAATTTCAATTTTGCGATTACTTAATTTTAAAAATACGTCATTGTGATACCCTTGTAAGATATGTTAGATTAATTTGAATCAAAACAAATGATAAACAAGTTCCGTACATCGTGTAGTGATAACATATTATAATAAAGTTAGTAACAGAGATATTTTTATTAAAGTATATATACAACAAAATCATTCACAGGTCTAATTTAAATTTTATTTATGTGTTTTTGATGATAAAAACAATGGAAATACCCTAATATATTTTGGGAAATTATTTATTTATGTTATTTCAACATCGCCGATGCAAAAATGTTGTATGTTATGGTTTGCAATATCTACAATATTTACCATATTCTCCAAACTTTATGGTCCGTAAGTTTTATAGTAATGAATATTTTGTAAATAATCGTGTACTTCTTGTCTTTCTTCTTCTTGGTTTAGACAAGATACGTTAATTTTTGGCACCTGGACATGCAACCTTCGCACCGAAACTTGTTTCTTTCCATTAAACTGCAATATGCAGACTTATGATCTGCACGAAGGGTAACAGTTTGCTGACTAATAGTTTAAGGATTTATCCTGGTTCTCAATCATCATTTGACCAGTGACCAATCATCATTCTATATCATATTACCTATTACCGTAATAATTTCATTAAGGTCCTACAGAGTGGAGTGGATTAGTGTGGATTAATCTAGCATACGCCATTACGTGGTAGTAAGTGGAGACGGTTCCCGACTTCACTTTCTGGGAGTTGTCCGACTTAAGCAGATAGCGGTCTAGTTAAGTGAGATTATGATTTTTTAAAAACACCGTTTAGTTATTAAAAAAATCAGTTGAGTTTGAAGAAATACCGTTTTTATTTTGCTGATTTGATGTGGAAGAATTGTTTTGTTATTTTATGAGGATTTGTTCAATAGCTTAGACTGATTATTTTTTAGCCATTCAGCAAATAACTTAACACTTTAGAAAACCTCCCTCTCAGAAGTCACCTGGATTACAGGAATATATTTAAGTTGAGGCTGGTTTTATTTTATTTATTTATTTTTTTTTTTCTATAACAATAATTGAAGTTAAGTTGGAGTTCTTTCTTTACCTCTGCTTAAGAGCTCATAGGAAACCTTTGCGAGCCGACAAGGAAACTTCCATTGTATCGTTGGTATGAACAAGTTATAAATTTACCCATTGTTTTTCTGCATCGAATTAATTTTTTTAAAGCTATTTATAAATTTTAAATTTACTTTATATTCTGCTAGAGGTTTAAATTTGTTCATAATAACACTAACTTTTTACCCTGTTTGTGTAAGGTAATTTTGTGCACGTTTAACCAGCGAGAACCATTTTTTTTTCATGATCATCATCTTTAGCTCGACAATCCTCTGTGGATTCTGGCCTGCTCTAAGATAAGTCGTCATTCTGTTCGGTTTCTGGCAACGTGTTACCATCTTCTGATCTCTAGTATCCCGAAGTGGTCCCCCTAACCACCTAATATGTGGTAAGCCTCCGCTTCTTCTTCCTACAGATGCTGCTTGCTGTTTATTTGCTTTTCAGCAATCATGTTATCAGACATTCGTATTATGTGCCCGGCCCATCTAAGTCGCTGTGTTTTAACGAACGTTGCGACATCCGGTTCATTAAAGAGTTGGTATAATTCGCAATTAAATCTTTTGTGCCACTGCCCTTGATCGTTTATAGCTCCAAATATTTTGCAAAGTAGTCTACGTTATTTCTGCGTTAGAGTCCATGTGTCGGCCCTGTATGTGAGGACCAGCCTCAGCAGTGTTTTATGTATTTTAAGAATTTTAGTTTTTTTTGGATATTTTTTAAGTGGAATAATTTTTTAGAGTTCATAGTATGCCCTATTCGTTTTTTAATTTCTACGCTTGTTTTATGGGTAGTAGTCACTAGCGAGCCAAAGTATCTGAAGCTGTCAACAGGTTCAAAGATATGACTTCCAAATGCTGTTTCCCGTTCCTCATTTACTATAGAATCCTCAGTTACCAACATGTACTTCGTTTGGCTTCGTTGATGACTAGACCGACTTGTTTCGCCGCCGTTTATAATTCTAGAAAATATTACAAATATTATGTCATTATCGTCAGCGTATGCTAAGATTTGTATCGATCTACTCTAAAAAATACCGCCGTCTCTAATTCGTGTATATCAGACTGCCTTTTCCAAGTAAATGTTAAATAGGAGGCAAGCCAAGGTATCCCCTTGTCTGAGTCCATCATTTATCTCAAAGGATCGAGAATTTTCTTCCTGTATCCTAACGCCGGCTTTTAAGTTAAACATTGTCATTCTAGTTAATCGAATAAGTTTTCTGGTAAGCTAAACTCACGCATTGATTAGTATAGTACCTACTGTTCTACAACACTGTCGTATGCGGCCTTGAAGTCGACGAATAGGTAATAAGTTTTAATGTTAAATTCTAATGTTTTCTCGAAGATCTCTCTTATTGAATGAATCTAGTTAATTATTGATTTTTCTGACGTAAATCTGACCTGGTATTTTCCAAATATGGCAACTGTGTAAACTCGTAGCCTTTCGTAAAGAACCTTTTTTTATCTTAAGATAATTGGTATGCCTGGAATATACACCATTAGAGTACCTATATCTATATTTAATTTGTTACTACCACTTGATCGATAATGATGTGAAGAATTTTATATTCTTGAAAGCAGGTAGATCAATTGTTGTTATTAGGGTTTTATTTCTTTGTTTTCGTTAAAGCTAAAGTCAGGGTATATATTATTGGGAGAAAGTTCTTATACACATATATTTGGGGATTTGATTATTATTAAACTGGGTTAAACTGTACATGACGGAATCAAAATCAACGAACAGACTATTAGTAATCTTTGCTATGCTGATAATATAGTCATAATAGCTGATAGCCAAGAAGCGCTACAACGACTGATAGATAGAATAAACACTGAAGGAGTACGACTAGGCTTGAAGAAAAATGTACACAAGACGTAGGTAATGGTTAGTAGAACACGAAATGTGCAATTAAATATATGAGTTAACAATATGAACATCCAAAAGGTCCCTAAGTTCAGATATCTCGATAGTTAAACAACTGAAGATTTAGATCTAGACACAGAGATATGTAGCAGGATTGAGCAATCCAGAACAGCATTTAACTAATATAAGAACTTTGCTAAGCAACAGCAGCCTAAACTAAACGCTTCGATATCGCTTTGTAAAATGTTACATTTACTCCATACTGCTATATGATGTAGAAACCTGACCATAAAGGCCAATGTGATGAACCGATTAGAGGCCTTTGAAATGTGGGTATTTAGAACACTACTTAAAATTTCCTGGACAGATCACACAACAAATGTCGAAGTATTAAATCGAACGGGTAGAGAACGAGAATTGCTGCCAATAACATTAAGAAGAAAAACTGCTTATCTGGGTCATATATTTCGAAATTCCAAGTACCAGTTCTTAAAGCTTATTATGGAAGGGAAGATAGAAGGAAAACGGAGCATCGGAAGAAAAAAATACTCATGGCTTAAAAACATACGGGATTGGACAAACCTCGATGCCCATGCACTCTTTAGAGCCACACCAGATCGAGAGGAGTATGCCAGCATTGTCGCCAGCATTGTCGCCAACATCCACTAATTGGATAGGGCACCATAAGAAAAAGAAACTGTACATATGGGTGAAAGGTATATAGTATTGTGGAAATAGGAATATCAAACTGTGAGAATTAAATTTAAGTTGTCTTTGGAAATAAATAATTAGCAGCAGGTTATGGCTTAAAGTGGGTTGTGTATAGTTTAGTAGTACCTTTTTTTCATTTTCAAAAAAGACAACTTAGTCAGCAATACAGGATACCTTGAAAAGTATACATTGATACATTCCTAGCGCCCAAACATTTTTTAAAGCTATTTCCTTATTTCATTACGCTCATTCCCTTCAATTTATCGGTTTTCTACCTCTTTTTTTTAATTTATGCTCTTTTTATTGTCTTTAAAGGACATGCAAATTGACCAAACCCTTCGTTGAGTATTTATTGGCCATCCTCCGGCATAGCCTGCTAGCCAAACTGCATTATCTCACACATTTTGTGTTATGTAGCACACTCCTGCTTGTTTTAATCACTTCTTCCATATTGTTGTTATAATGGTACTTACCACGACAGACCAGTTCCTTATTTTTGTTACATAATTTCTTATTATATTCCTGTATGTAGCTTTGTCCCTCCTGCTTCTATATCCTAGCCGATGTTTCTGTTATTTTTTATCTTTAATTTAGTGGTTTTTAGTTACTTTAGTTTATTTTCTATTTCATGGTCATCTTCAATATTTATTGGTTTCGGGTCTACTTTGTTTTTGTTTAACAGTTCTGAAGAAGAATATTACCAATTTTTCATTATCTCCCTTGGATTTTTTATTAATATCTCTTCATAATGTGTCATACATAAATTATTTTTCGGATATCGTCTTTCCATGTTTCTTGTGTCCCAATAGAAAGAATTTTTTTCTTTGCCATTTCTGTAACTTTCTGCGTGTTCATTTTTTAATTTTCCTTATTTCTCTGTATTCCGGTCTGCTTCTCTTACTATTGCTTGTTAGATTTTTAGTTTTTATTTTTCTAATGGCTTCTGCTACTTTTTGTCATTCCTCATCATGCCATTTTTTTGTTTTCTATTTTCTATTGCAAAAAATGCAGAAACTTTTGAAAATATAAACGGACTTTATTTGTTATTTATTAATTTTTATATTAAAGATACATAAATTAAAAAGTTACTTTATTTATTAGTTTTATTAGTTGCTACTTTTTATTGAATATTTATTTCTTCTTTTTTTAGGAAAATAAGGAGATCGTTGAACCCGAAGACAACTAAAACGAACAAATTACGGGATGCTCTTAGATTTTTAGATTATCCGCTTTCTGTGACTTTTACTAGGTTTTACAAAAGATTTTATCCCTTTTTGTGAAATAAAAATTAATATTTACTTGGACTTTTAATAATATCTTCCCACGTTAGATTGTTTTAAAACATACTGAAAGCATGAGACTTTGTTATAACGGATTAACCATTTTAAATAGACAATATCTCTCTACCTGTGGTTCACATCCTTAGTCGATTTTTACCAAATAACATTAGGTGTCGGCCGATATGCGCTCGACCGTTTTGCGCCCTTAACTGAAATCGGCCGGTTTGCGCTCTAACACTTTCTTAATGGAGATGTATAGCTAATTATTTTCTTATATCGACCGTTTTGCGCTCTCTTGTAATCGACAATTAATTTTATTCTACCATAACGATCAAGTAACGGTTAGGCTAGTAAAATTAGTTTTAAAAAATCATAAAACTATAAAAAAATAAAAATAAACCATCTTCCCTTCACACTTTCATTCAGGCTTAGTACTGTCATAGTTTATACATAATATAAACATTGGCGTATTTATAAGATGTTTTTTTTTTATTTTTGTCGTTTTTTTTTCAAACTTTTTATCCAGTAAAATACAAAAAAATCTTGGGAATAAAAAATTGTCTATTTATTGCAGCTTCTGGATATATGCCAATGTCCTTAAACACAAACTTTAGTCCCTTGTATCTTTATATTTCTGTAAAGTTTTTAATATTCTTTCATCGAGATTAATATATGTTTTCTTGCACCGCTTTCCTTCTAGATTGAAAGTAAATCGATCATAAAGGTGATCACAATATTCTACTTCTTTAACCAGGCACTTCACTTATTGGAATACATTGGAATGTCGTCTTATTAATGTATTCAGACGATGATTCCAACCTTCTAAAACGTTATTACTGCGATATCTTTGATGATAGCAATTTTACATTTCCTTGGTAATTTTCTAACCAGTGTTTGACAAAAAAGTCATAAAACTGTTCCATTTTTTCAGAAATATGAGAGGTTTCTTGAATGCATAACCAGCTATCATCGATATCTTCTATGGGTAGATACGCTAACGTAGCACACATTCTTATGTGCAAACGTATCTCTTCGTTGTCAGTGTATTCAGAAACAAGTCCAATATTTTGAACATTTTTCCATATTCCAATGAAAATTACAACCAGAAATTTTGGCTTCGGGAAAATAATTTTCTAATGCACCAATCACTGCCTGTTCAAAATCCAGTTTTATTACAGGTGGTTTCCAATTTGGTAGTTTCTCTTTCATTGGTGAAAATAACATATCGTATGTCTCTTTGGTTTTATTAGGAAGTAACGCAAATATCAATGGAATTGTATTTGTCTTCTCTGACGTACTACCAATATCGATATGAACGGTATATATTTGACTAAATTGCTTACTGCAACTTTTGAATGTTCCATCTTGTCGTCTTGTCGATAAATAAAAATTTCGTTTTGTCGCCCATTGTAATAATTTCTTTTGGAAATACTATTTCGGATGCTGCCGCTGGATCTGTGAGTAGCCCACGTGCACGTTTTCTACAATCGTTTAAACCACTTTTCACTGAAGATAACTTTGGGACGTCTGTCACGAAATCCAGTCTTGACTATATAATCTTTGAAATTCATCTTGATATATTTTTGACATCGGCAAATAACTATTGTCTTCCCTAGCTCTTTTTCGAGCATTGAAGACACACTACTTCACTTCTGTCGCTGCAACACTTGGCTTACACAGATGTTCGGCTTCCCTAATTATTGTGTTATTATCCATAATTATGTGGCCTCGACATTTTTTAGTTTTCGCTTTCAAACAACTCCAAAAAACCGAACCATCTTTATTTATCTTTTTCATACGTAAACTGTACCCTTTATACAATGCACAAGTTTCAATAATTTGCACATCAATTTTTAAAACACTAACTCACACTGATTCACAATAATTCTTGATCCTACTATCTCAAAGAACGCAATAGAAATGATTGACCTATTGACCATCAATATAAATAGTCATTATCACGTAGAATTTTCAGGTAATTTTTCTGTTACCATACCCTTTGTTAATGACTTAAGTAGTTACCAGTTCGCATTATCAGGTAGAAAGAAAAGTTGGTTCCAGCGATCTCTCATTTTGGGAATCCTAGTTACTAATTGTATCTAAACAATTAACTTCCAGGAAGAAGGATTATAAACAGAGGTATTAAATATTAAAAAACAATCTGTTGTTCCACAGTATAAGAAAAATGTAATATCTTTTTTTCCAAATCTAAAAGAAAAAGACGTTTCTATTTATTTGACATCTCAGTTTGTTCATTGCAGGTTCACCAGACTTTTATTGTAGAATGAAGTTAAAATTATATTGCAAGAGAGCGCAAATCGGCCGATTAAGAAAACCATAGTATTTTAGTTAGATATTTCTATTATGAAAATTGCAAAGCGCAAACCGGTCGATTTCAGGTAAGGGCGCAAAACGGTTTAGTTCTAACTGTAAAACAACGAAATGTCTATTATGTAGTTCATTAGCTGGGTACCTTTCTGTATATGTATATGGAAGGGTGGATAGTTGAAACTATTCTATCTTATGTAAAAATTTTTGTTAAATACGAATATGTAGGTCGTCGAACTTAAAAAGTGGTACCGATTGTTATAAACAATTTTTTTCTAAATACATTTTTAATATTTGAAAACTTTGATTTATAACCGTATTGTATATAACATCGTAAAGTAGGGCCTTAAATCAATTTAAAATGTTTTATTTTCCTTTATCATCAATTTGAATATTCGATCAAATCAGCGCCTCTATTATTGGCAGTTTATTTAACTGGGTTATTTAGGATTACGAAAAATACATTTACATATTTAAATTACATCTTACAACAGCCACAACTATTATCTTTTAATTTGTTCTACCTTTTCTTGTAAAGGAAAAACGACAGGAAGCAACAAGAAGATTTTTAACGGTTTACAACACTCTCCCTTGTTAAAAAAAACCTTCATCCGTAGAAAATTATTCAATATAGAAAAACCCATTACGGGTAAGTCTTTTGTTAGTCCATCAGCTTGTTGTTCTTTAGAATTAATATACCTTAAATCCAAAATTTCCTTTTCTGCATAAGCACTCAGTAACAAATCGATACTTTAAATCAATATGTTTCGCTATTTTGTTATTTTCATGATTTTAACAAGTTCTAAACACTCTTGGATATCTTCAAAAATTATTTTTTGCTTTACTTCAGTAAGTAAATCAATTAATAATTTTCTTTAAAATAAATTTTCTGTAACACAAGCACATAAAGCTACTAATTCAGCTTTCATTGTTGACAAATTCATACAGTTTTGTTTTCTAGTTACCCATGTCGTTTCTGAATAATTTTATTATATACCCAGTAACTGATTTTCGATCAATTCGGTCACTCCTCCAATTAAAATCTATAAAACTTACTATTTGCTGTTTATTTTTCCTATATTATTTCAAACCATCATTTTCAGATTCCTTCGAATATCTCAAGACTATTTTTAAATAAATCCATATTTCATGTGATGCTTTGTCTTGATATCTAGATCAGGTCGACTAAATATTATATAACATATGAACAAATATGTACAGATGATAGATTAAGCAACCTACTATTTGTCTCATAGGTTTATTCGTATTAATAATATTGCATGTTATGGAAGTAGGATCGCAAGAGTCCATACTAAACTTTCTTAAGATTTGTTAAATGTATCCTATCTAACTAATATGTAAAATATAATTATCTCTGTTATAGTTTTATTATCCTTTAATTCAAACATTTTCATTAATTGCTTTACAATATAGTTTATAAAATCATTATCAGGACGACATATTAATGTATCGTCTGTATAAATTAAAAGATAAGTTGAAAAATTATCAGTTCTTGTGATATATAAACAAAAATTATTTTTAGATCTTATAAATCCTATCTCAAGTTAGTAAGAATTAATTTCTATATTTTAATATTTTGACGATTGTTTTAACCCATAAAATGCTTTATTTAACTTATATACTTTACGTTTACATTTTACTCCTGCTGACAAATGTATATAGACTTCTTCTTCCAGAGTTTCATTCAAGAATGCTGACTTAATATCTAGTTGTCTGAAAGAGAATGAAAATTAGTTTCCAGTAGTCAAGATCATTCTAATCGTGATCATTTTCGCTACTGGAAAATATTTTTTTTTTTCATAATCAGTTCCCTTTTCTTGTGCAAATCCTCAAACTACAAATCGAGCCTTATATTTATCACATTTACTCTACTCAAAAGGTGTAAATCAAATCAGAGATATAGAAGAAAAAAGAAAGAACAAACAAGCGAGGCAGTTCTTTAAAGGAGTTTCAGATATCAAGACCGGGTACCAAGCAAGAACAGGAAACTTTCTTCAAAACGACAGTGGACGGCTTATCACTGATGACAAGGAAATCTTAAAAACCTGGAAGGAATACTTCTATCAACTATTGAATGACCAATCTAGCAAAAGTACATCAAACATAGAGGTACATACAGCTGAAATAGAAGACCAATACTCGACATACGAAGAAGTAATACAGGCAATTAAAAAACTCAAAAATAATAAGACACCAGGTAGCGATGGTATACCCGCAGAGTGCTTAAAACATGGAGGAGAAGCGTTGTACAGTTCGATATACAAGCTAATTCAAGACATTTGGCAAGAAGAAACAATGCCAGATGAATGGAAAGAAGGGGTTATTGTACCAATACACAAAAAAGGAAACAAAAAGCAATGTATTAACTACTGGGGAATAACACTCCTAAACACCACCTACAAAATCCTTGCAAACATCCTGCTAGAAAGAACCAAAACATACACAGAAGAAATCGTTGGAGATTATCAATGCGGATTTAGACCGGGCCGCTCTACAATTGACCAGATATTCACAATAAAACAGATAATGGAAAAATGCTGGGAGTTTGATCGTGAGCTTCATCAGATGTTCATAGATTTTAAACAAGCATTTGATAGAGTATGTAGGGACAGACTGTGGACAGCGATGCAGGAACTTGGCTTTCCAAAAAAACTAGTCCGGTTGATAC